TTGGGCAAGAGGGAGTGGAAGATGGCACACCCAAGTACTCCAGGGCTTTAGCTTCTTTCAGAAGTAGAAGGAGGAGATGCTTCTCAGGGGTTCCTTTCGCACAGCCTCACACAGCTTTCTTCATCACTACACCCCGTGAGTAAGCGAGGCACCCCCGGAAAGCCCGCAGCTAGGGTGGTCAGTAGAAGACAGAGTATGACATCAGCAGTGAGATCTGCCCGGGCCGGGGGGTTCCACTCTGGCTGCACATCGGACCACCGGACAGCCTTAAACAACACTGCTGGCCTGTGGCTCACGCTTGTAATCCTAGCACTTTAGGAGGCCGAGGCGAAGGGATCACCTGATGTCGGGAGTTCCTTGTTTCTTTCAGTTGGAAAACTCCATGGTTTTATCCCTGCGCTCTAAGAAAATGTCATTGGGGCCTACATTTCGGCAGACTGTAGAAAGGTTGATTACCAGCAGGGGGCGCACTAAGCATCTTGAGCTGATTCTGTGTTTAGAGAAGACCCTGGAATCTTTTTCTGTACCTATTTACTTATTTATTTTTTTATTTCCAACTTTTACTTTAGGTTCAGGGTTACAGGTGGAGGTTTTTTATATCGGTAAATTGTGTATTGCTGGGGGTTTGGTGTACAGATTATTTTGTTAGCCAGGTAATAAGCATAGTACCCACCAGTGTTTCGATCCTCACCCTCTTCCTACCCTCCACCCTCAAGAAGACCCCGTGTCTGTTGTTCCTTTCTTTGTATCCATGTGCATTCATTATTTAGCTTCCACTTTTAAGTGAGAGCATGTGGTATTTGGTTTTCTGTTCCTGCAGTAATTCTCTTAGAATAATGCCTCCAACTCTATGTTGCTGCAAAGGACATAATCTTGTTTTTATTATGGCTGCATAGTATTCCATGGTTTCTGCATGCCACATTTTCTTTATCCAGTCCACTGTTGATAGGTATCTAGGTTGACTCCGTGTCATTGCTGTTGTGAATAGTGCTGTGAGGAACATACGCATGCATGTGTCTTTGTGGTAGAATGATTTATATTCCTTTGGATATATACCCAGTAACGGGACTGCTGGGTTGAGTAATGGTTCTATTTTAAGTTCTTTGAGAAATCTCCAGATTGCTTTTCACGGTGGTGGAACCAATTTACATTCCCACCAACATTATGTAAATGTTTCCTTTTCTCCACAGCCTCACCAGCACCTGTTATTTTTTTTCTTTTTAGTAATAACCGTTCTGACTGGTGTGAGATGGCCACTCACTGTGGTTTTGATTTGCGTTTCTCTAGTGATCAGTAATATTTAACATTTTTTCATATGCTTATTGGTCACGTCTGTCTTCCTTTGAGAAGACACTGGAATTTGCCGAATAGTGTATTTTGCTGTTATGAATGTCTAGTAGAATATAACGGAAATTTTAATTTCATGCATTATTAAATTTATTTTAATAGTATGAAATTTATTACTTTTAATAACTGAATTAATAATTGCATTTAAACTTAATTAACATAGTATTTTTTTTTTTACTGCAAATAATGCTTTACACCAAAATATTGATAGTGATCACATTAGTGTGAGAACATACGTTATTATATGCGGTGATTAATATTGTAGGGAGTAACTAGAGCTGGCATTTTGGGGTGCTGCAGACGATTCTTACCAATCCAGACAATTTTCTAAACGGGGCCTTGCAGTTATCTAACAGTGAGAATAGATGACTAACTGAACTTGTCAGACTCCCTGCTTTCTATCATAATAACGACGCAGAATTGACACAATTATGTGGCTTGGAAATCTTAAATTCATCAGCACTCATTTAAAAAAAATTGAATGGAAGCTACTTGGAGAGCCTGGGTCGGTTCAGCACAGGGCAGCTGGGTCGGCTCCCATTTCTGTGTCCGCAGCGCCCTCGTGTGGTGAAATGCGCCCGGTTTTCCTGGCCGCGTTTCAGGCCAGGGGTCCCATTGGTCCTCACTTCCCAGTACAGGAGCTGCAGTCCTGAGTCGACCCCCATCGGAGGTCACGATCTGCCAGGAGGCTAGATCGCCGCTCTGGTTGTCTTGTAGTTTTGCGCAGTAAGTTACTGACTAGCAGTGCTGGTAATAAGTCCTGAGTTGGACATGGCGATTCCATTCCTTACACATGATGTGTACACGCAGTTATCCTCAACCGGTTGGTTGGAAGGTGGCGTTTATTTCCACAAAGCAGCAGTTCCCTAGAGGATGGTTTAGAACCCAGAGCATCCATGGAGACCTCCTTACTTCAGTCTGTAGCTGTGGTCATGCCCAGAAGGAGATTTCTGAGTTTTGTAGACCCGGTTAGGTACAGGAAAACCTTTTGCATTTGCTGAAGCACCACTACAGGCCGGGGAGGGGTTGGGGAGGGGCTGGCTTACTGCTGAAGGAGGACTAGACATGGCCTGGTCATCAGCGGCAGAGGGGAAACGTTGTGGGGTTAGTCCTTGCCCCGTACCCTGCTCTGCCTCCTGCAGAGACTTCAGATCTCTCACGCCTCCTGCCCAAGCAAAGCAGCCAGGTGAGTAGGAATAGGTTTCTTTGTTTCCTAACTCGTGAAGGTTTTTTCTCCAAATTCCTTAGACTCACACAGTCTATGTTGTTGATTTACAGAGGCAGTAGTGAGGCCCCATACCCCAATGCCTCCCACCTTGAGACCTGGGCAGAGGATTGCCCTATGAAATTCAAACCTTAAATCAGTAGGTATCAGCAGAGACAGGCATGGTGCCTTAAAGATAAAGAACACAGATGGCCTCCCTATTCATGGAGAGGCCTGCAACCTTTATGTAGCTCTATATACACCCACTCCTGTGTGCGGATGCTTCTTGACTTACCATGGGTTTATCTCCCAATAAACGCATCACAAAGTCAAAAAGTTGTCATTTGTCTGGATATATGTATTAGTCTGTTCTCACATTGCTATAAAGAAATACCTAAGATGACAGTTTATAAAGAAAAGAGGTTTAGACTAGGCACAGTGGCTCATGCCTATAATCTCAGTAGTTTGGGAGGCCAAGGCGGGCAAATCACCTGAGGTCAGGAGTTCAAGACCAGCCTGGCCAACATGGCAAAACCTTATCTGTACTAAAAATGTGAAAATAAGCTGGGTGTGATGGCATGTGCCTATAATCCCAGCCACTCAGGAGGCTGAGGCAGGTGAATCGCTTGAACCTGGGAGGTGGAGGTTGTGGTTGCAGTGGGCCGAGATGGTGCCACTGCACTCCAGCCTGGGCAACAGAGTGCGACTCTGTCTCAAAAAAATAAAGAAAAGAGGTTTAATTGGCTCATGGTTCTGCAGGCTGTATGGGATGTGCAGCGGCTTCTGCCTCTGGGGAGGCCTCAGGAATCTTCCAATCCGGCTTCCTGCATGGCAGAAGCAGGAGCAGGAAAGCGAAGCGGAAGTGCTAGACACTTCTAATCAACCAGATCTCACAAAAACTCACTCACCATCCCGAGAACAGCACCAAGGTAATGGTGCTAAACCATTCGTGAAAGTTCCACCCCCATGATTCAATTCCCTGAGCCAGGCCCCACCTCCAACAGTGGGGATTACAATCCGGCGTGAGATTTGGTGGGGGCACAGATCCTGTATCATATTATATATGTATATGTAATATTGAAGGAGTTAAGATCACATGGCCCCAAAGTATGCTGCTCCAGCATACTGACTTTTTTGAGTTAAGGACAATTGAAAAACAGCAGGTGCCGGAAAATCATGCTGCCCTTCCTTCTGTTTCTTAAAAGCAGGAGATGAAATTCCTGTGTGAAAGATGTCTTCCAATACCAGGAGAAAAGTGTCACGCTTATCATCAAGGACAAAAAGTTGAGGCTGAGGGAAATGTGTAAAAACCCTGTTAAACCAACCCTCACCTTCCCTGCCACTCTCTACCCAGTTAAGTACCCCAGCCCCGCCACATCTTTGCCCAATTCTGTGTATAAATATAAGTGCTCAACTCTAACTGCATCTTCATTTTGTCGTGGAGTTTCCTATGCCATGTAAAAGTAGATTAGATAAATATGTATCCATTTTTCCTGTTGATCTATCTACGTCAATTTAATTCTCAGGCCTAGCTGAAAAACCCTAAGAGGGGAGAGGTGATATTTTGCCTCTCTATAATATAATCCATATAACCACCTTATATATATGTATATGTATGTGTGTGTATATATAAAAACAAATCATATTATATGTAATAATCTATACATCCCTCATATATGTTTCTGTATATGCATGTGTGCACATATAAATCTGTGTATATATGGTTAAAAGCTGGGTCGTTCAAAGTCCTACCTTCAGAATCAGAAAGATTTCCAATCCAGCTGCCCTACATCCTCCTGGTGTGACCTTGGGACAATTTTGTATCTGTCTAGTCCTCCATTTCTTTGGGTAGAATGGGGCTCTTGCTAGTGCCTCCCTCAAAGTTGTGAGGATTGAGTGCAGCCGTTTGGCACGCGCTGGTGGTGCCCGTGTTCAAGGGTGGGACGGCAAGGCATAGTGGGCGGCAGTGGGATCGGGACCCTGTTAGCAGGCTGCCTGTCTGTGGAGGTGGCAGTACTGAATGTGTGAGTCATGACTGCCTTCTCTTGGGTGATGTCCCCATTCTTCAACGAACCCTCAGATTGCAGCTTGGCTTCCATCTCAGCTTAGCTATGAGGAAAGCTTGGGCTTGCAAGTTACACATTTCTCATTGTATATCTACATATTGGCCTTCCTGTTAATTTATGACTCACATGCCAAACTGTGCCCTAGAGAAGATCTGTCATCCCTGCGACGATGGAATCGGGTTTTGAGACAGGGCATCAAGAGGTGGATCTGAACTTGCCAGCATGCTGCCTCCCTTTGGGTCCTTTGGGAGACATTTCTTGGTGTTACTTTGTGTTGCATTCTTCTGCTGTAATAATTTCATACTTGATATGAGTCAAAGAATAAATGAACTCAAAGACTAATGAAGCCTCCGTTTAAGAGATAACTTTCTCTTTTCTCCTAGGATACCTGGGATGAACTCCTAATTGGTAGTGTAGAAATGAAAAGGGTAATGGCGTGCTCCAGGTAAGGACCTTGCTAGACCCCAGGACTGCGGCGTGGCCCACCCATTGGTTCCTAACCACCACCTAACCCTTGGTTATTGCCTGACAGGTGTATTTTCACTACGGTGGACCCAGACACTGGAATCATAGACAGGAAACAGCCACTGGACACCCTGAAGAGGTACAATGCCGAAGTGGCCAGTGTATTTTAAATATTTCTCCACCCCAGAAGTACCTATGGGTTTAGGTGGTATGTCTGCTTTAAGGAAGATAGAAGCTTTCTCTCCAGAGAAACTTCCACTCTGTCTTCTGACCAATTTGTGTCAATTGGTTAATGAGAGCACTGTTCTTCCTCTCTTTTTCTGGATGGATTCTCTAGTGGTTTGGATAAACTTTTTTTTTTTTTTTTTTTGAGAGGCGTCTCACTCTCTCCCCCAGTCTGGAGTGCAGTGGCATCATCTTGGCTCACTGCAACCTCCACTTTCTCAGTTCAAGCGATTCTCCTGCCCTGGCCTCCTGAGTAGCTGGAACTACAGGTGTGTGCCACCATGCCTGGCTGATTATTGTATTTTTAGTAGAGACAGGGCTTCACCATGTTGGCCAGGCTGGTCTCGAACTCCTGGCCTCAATGATTCACCTGCCTCGGCCTCCCAACAGGCTGAGGTTACAGGCATGAGCCACCACTCCCAGCCTTGATACACTTTGAATTGCATAATACTACATTTTGAAATTTTAATATCTCTTGTATCAATTTTTAATAATATTTATATATGCCTTTCCAAATTTAGGCCTGAAACACTTTATTTAATCATGTTTATTGCAACTCAAATTCCTTTATTAGAATTGATATCAAGGAATATGAGAATAATTGAAATTACATAATAAAATATTAGAAAAAAATGAAGGCAATGAGTTGTTAGAGTTGGTTTACCCAGGAGCTTCTTATATGCTACAAATTTCTCTTTTGTTTTGTTATTTAAAGAAGTTTGGCTGATTTTAGTTCCCAGCGCTGGGAGTGTTTTTAGGCAGAACATTCTTTGGAGCTGTATTCTAGTTTGTTTCTCTGTCCTCCGTTTTGTGGTTTGTTTCCAATGGGTGTGGCTTAGAGAAGAGGTTATTTCATGACGCCTTCAGACTTGCAAATCTATTTTGCTTCTGCTTTTTAAGATGTAGTGATAATTATTTAAGATGCCATGAAAGTTATTGTTTTCTTTAGACAGGACAGTTGAGAAACTCCTGCAATAGTCCAGGCCCACTTGCCAGCTGCATCTCTGTCTGAGGCTTTGTTCACCAGTGAACACCAGCTTTGGGCTTATAAGCCTGGAGGGGGTTGAAAGCATGGTGCTTAAATGCACTAAACAAAACATTTGCAGAGTTCGGGGCCATTCCCCATTTTGAGTTTTCATGGGCATTTGTTTCAATGAGTTGTGAAGTTGAAGGTACCCATATAGACAAAGTATTTATTTTATACTTACACATATGATTTTTCCTTCTGGCCTTAAACTGAAGCCATGGAGAAATTGTTTAGACTTTCAGAATACTTCTAGAAAAGCTAGAAGCTACTTGCAGTTTGACTGATTGTCCACAGGTTTCTCTGTCAACATTTTAGAAAATCCCTGCTGTGTATTTATAAATAACATGGAAGGCAAGCTTGGTGCCACTGAGAATACTTCATTATTTCCTTTTGGTGTCTGATGATTGAATTGTTGCTTGTTTCAGCTACCGCCTGTGTGATCCTTCTGAGAGGGCACTATACAAGACGTCTCCACTTTTTGGGATCTATTATTCAGTGGAAAAAGTTGGAAGTCTGAGAGTCGGCGACCCCGTGTATCGGATGATGCAGTGACGGATGCACTAGGGTGATATGGTAAAGGGTCAGCTTTGCTTCTGAATACACTGTCTTGATGCCATTGCTGCATTTTCTTGTGTTAATTTTTTTATGTTATGCTGCTTTAATTACTGAGAGAATGAGCAGTGTTGTATTCTGATCTTTGGAGTTGGAAAATGCCCTTAAATTCCATTCCCTGCAGTAGTGTGCGCACTCCTCCTCCAGCTTTCTCTACCCCTATTTCCCATTCAGTGATAATGGTGATGGAAGAGCCCCAGCAGAAAGACAGGTATATGCTCACAGCTCATCACAGAGTAGTATTAAGGAATAGGGAAAGGAAGGTGAGTGATTCTCAAGAGTTATGTATTTATTTTTTCTGTCTCAGATAGAAGGGGAAATATTTAAATTATTTGACATCAACTTGGGGAAAATATTTAAATTGAATGCTTTTTCTCAAATGTATTTTTAAAGTATAATTGAAGTTTGAAAAAAAAAATCCATGTATCAAGGTGATTCCTCAATCATGAGTTAGGAAATAATGTTCTCATGTTGACTTCATTGTGCCCAATACAGCCCCGACTCCTGGAGGTAAAAGCCTAACTCCCAAATTAAAGGAGTGAGAAAGTCGGTCAGAACACCTCAAGTTGGAGATTTTAAGCAAGCCATCTCATAAAATCCATGACCCAGTTCTTAAAGTCACCTCATCTCCAAAACCCTTGACCATCTCTGATTCTGCCCTGAGCTTCTCACGTGTGTTACTTGCCTTTGAAGTCTTTACACCCACAACCTGACTGTCCTACGGACAATGTAACATAGTGGCTTAGCAGGTCTAGATATAGCATTAGATAGACTTGGGTTTGTAATCCAAGCATCTTCCTAACTTGGTTGAGATGTTTAACTTCTCTAGTCTCAGTACTCTTACCTGCAAAGTGAGAACAGTAGTACTTACCAAAACAACCAGTAAAAGTTATCTTGAGTATTAATTCACATAAAGTTGCAGCATTGCAATAGAAATCAAGTGCTCAGTAAATACTAGCTACTGTTTTTATTGCAATCATTCCATCACGATCCAGTGTTAGGTTCTCTAGTGGGTATAAAGATGACACAGGCTTTGCCCTCGAGGTGGGCAAAAAGGAAATACCTTTCTATTGATTTCTATTATGACTAGGCATTTGCATAACCATAACCATATTTCATCGGGTCTGAGGTCCTATTCTAACATCTCTAATTATCTGTCAGCTTCTTATAACATTCAAGATGCCTTTTGAAAAATACCATAAAATAATGGTACATCTTATGATTAGTGTATCTTGGATTTGATGAAATACAATAAGTATGAAAACTAGAGAGGAAATTGTGAAACTCCTAAGTGCCTGCCATTTCTAAAAGCCCCATCTGGGGATAGTGGACCCAAGCCTGAGCCACCTAGCTTGAGTGAAACTGATCCTGTATCCTGCTGTTCCAGCCATGATTGACTGGGCCTGGATCAGTGTGTGAGCCAAGGGCTTTCACATGTTCTCTGCACCTGTGGGAGCCCAATGGTTGTGAGATACCTTAATGATGGATGCTTTTCCATATTGCTTGGTCACAAACTCACTCAATCAGATCCTATTGTGCCATGGATGGAGGCAAGGAACATCTGTGGTTCACTCAGTCTCAATTTCCAGTTGTCTCTGCTCCCCAGAAGGCCTTGTGTAATCTTTCCCTATGCGAGGATCTCTGTGAGATAGATATGGTAATAGGCATTTTAGGGATGAGAAACAAAAGCTCAGATAGGTTAGCTGATGGCAGGCCATGGAGCTGAAGCGATTTAGAGGTAGTAGGCCATGTTTTCTGCACAGCATTGTCCCATACATTTATATGTGTAACCTCAGTAAGTGACGGTTTTGTGGGAGTTTGAATTACTTATGAATGGTAGGATAAATCACCAGATAACCAGAGATTCTTATTATTTATTCAGGTTTCAGCAACCAGGAGGGATTGACTGGGATCTTAACAACAGTGGCAACAATACATCAGCAAATCCTTATTATCCAACCTTCAACTATCTTTACCCTGGAGAGGAATCTTGATTTTTGACTTTTCAAAGTTGTGTATGCTCCAGGTTAATGCAAGGAAAGTATTAGAGGTGGGAATATGAAGATATATATGTAAGTTTTAGGTATTGAAGGCTTCAAAAATAGTTAACATCATCAAAAAACTATTTTGGGTGTCATCATGGCCATTATGCTTTTTTACTTCCTGACTTTAATATTGATGAATAAAGTAAGTTTAATGAATCAACTAAAAAGCTGCAAAAAATGTTTTTAAAATGTATATCTTTTATTACCTGTCAGTCTATGTTTTAGGAGACATGGGAAGCAACAGATCACTGTGTCTTGATGAGTAGGTCACATGTTTCCACACTCACAAATGCCTGGTGTTGGTCTTTACATGGCTGTGGAGCCCCATTGACTTTTCACTCATGTGCCTTTTACTCTAGCATTATGGAATCTGATTGGGCTGTGCTTGACTGTGGAAATGATCTTATAGACTTTGCTTTACACTTTTGTCTATTACACCTTTATTAAGCCATATAAAAGTAACCTGTGTGAAATTGCCAGATACACCACCTGGAATTCCGAGTAAGATAAAGGAGAGGATGACATTTAAAAGAGAATTGAATTTCGAAAGTAGGAGTGGGAGGAAGACAGCATGAATGTGTTTTTTTCAGTGCAAATAATTTTTTCGTAACAAAGAAACAAACTATTTTGGTATGATCTTAAGCAAAAAATACTCACTGAAGTGGTCTATAGATGAATTCACCTACTTACAATTTTGTGGTTTCTTTGTAAATAATAAATGTGAATTGCAATCCTGCTTTATCTTTGGTATTTGTGAGTCTTCTTCCTGGGTTTTTCTCTTTATATTAGAACTTGAGTCACTGCAATTTATTTTTCCTTATCCTTTCTGATTGCCTCCAGAGACACAGTCTGACTCCACAAACACTGGCTTCTGTCATTGACAGGGGCGAGGGCGTCGTGAACTGCGGGCACATAGCTGGCCTGTCTGCGACAGGATGGCCAGTGTCTACAAGGGACCCTCCTAGTGGTCAGTGAGGAGCGGCTGTTCCTTCCTCCTCCATTTTCCTTTGCTGGGTTCTGGGACTGAAATTCACCACCACTCCCCACACCCTGTGAGGTAAAAGTGGTAAGTGACCTGTAGCCCTGGGTAAATTCTGAAAGTGATGAAATTGAAAAATTGTTACTTTAAAGTCAACCATTAAAATTGGAAAGCCATTTTCCTCTTAGATTTTCAGAGAGAAAATCAGGAGGGAGATAAACAGAAATGGACAACATTTGGTGCCCCAGAGCTGCCTTTCTGCCGGAGAATCATGTCCCTTGTCCTGCTGAGCTGTGTCCTTCACAGGGAGGGTGTGACCTGGGCTTGGTAGAGAATAGAGCAGAAAAACAGGACAGATAAGTATTCAGGCCAATAAAGACAGAGACTCCCTGAGCACTGGTCTGCGGTGAGTTGTCAGCTGGAGGAAGAGTGTTGTTCTTTTCTCTTAGCAAACTCAAGGCACCCTTGCCCTGCATGGACAATTCTGGCTGAGTCTTGAAATGTACACTCCTGGTTCAGGGGACCATGGCTGAGCTGGGATGACACAGAATCCCCTTGACCAAACTTCGGTCTTATCTGAGCCCTCTTCTTCATGAGGCCTTGAACTTGCCACCCTCCTCCCTGCAGAGCCCAGTTTTAGCCAGAATCCTGCTTAGTCAGTTTCAGGAGTATTCTCCCATCCTTAATATCTGATCACCCTTGATGTCCATTCAGATTTCTCATCTGTCACTTTCAGTGTGTAAGTCCTTGCCTTGTTCAGTAGAATCCCTGTTAAGTAGGTTTATCAAGAATCCTCTACACTTGATGTCTCCTCTTAGTGATTTTCCATTCACTGACCCCCGAGGAACTTTGCTCCTTGGCTACAAATCCCTAGCTAGCTTTGCTGTAATACAGAGTTGAGCCCAATCTCTTACCCCTGTTGTGATACCCCTGTTGCAATAGGCTTGAATAGTCTTTCTTATCGTTTTAACAAGCGTCTGAGTAATTTTTTTCTTTAATAGCTTGATACATCAAACAGGAGCCTGACTCCTAAACCACCCTGTTCAGGGTAGGCTGACGTTGTTTGGAATATAACCTGATTTGGAAATGTCACGTGACTGAGGTGAGTGCCTGCAGGACCAAGTGACATTCCCTCACGGTGGAAGCAGCTGAAAATCTTGTGCAGTGCTAACCTTCTGAGCCAACGCCCTTGCCAAAGCAGCTCTACCTCGAGGCTCCTCTCGGGAGGCGTGGAGCAGCCCCGGCCGCATAGGAGGCGCTCTCAGACGCCAATTGCCGCTCCAAGCTGCCGCTGGGAGAACTCTGGCCTCGGCTTGCTGGCGGAAGGGCCTGGTAGCATCCTCCTCCTTCAGACCCCCACTCTCTGGAAGCTCCCTAGCCCCTGGGCACCCTGCGGGGAGGGCGGCGGCAGCAGAGAGCTGGACACTGCACAAGCAGGGCGACCCACTCCCCAATATTTCCAGGAAAGGCTGCTGCCCGCTGCCTGATTTCTAATGTCAAAATCACGCTTTGTCCTGCAAATGTTGTATATTGTCTATTTTAGGTCAAAGAACCCCATGAATACATAAATAAATAATTGGTCACTTGCAGCGATCGTGGGGGAGGGCACAGCGCCCTGCTGCTGCAGGCGACGAAAGGTGGCAGAGGCAGCGGGGCGCAGACCACGTGGAAGGCACCACCTCCCACGGCCTGCGCCGCCCCCTAGAAGGACGCAGTGCTCTGATTGGCCTGGAAGGGTTCAGGAGCTGCCCACCCTTTGGGCGTGGGGCCAAAGGCCAAACCTCCCCCCAGCGGCCCGGGGCGACCAGTGCGCTCCGGGCCCCGCCGCCGCCACCTCTCGGAGGAGCCAGGCATGGGCGCCACCGGCTCCTCCGCGCTGGCCCGCTTTGTCCTAGCGCAGCCCCGACCCGGGTGGCTCCGGGTCGCCGCGCTGGCACTGGCCGCCGTGGCCCTGGGGGCTGTCGCCTGGTGCCGCGCTTGGCCCAGGCGGCGCTGGCGGCGGCTGCAGCAGGTGGGCACCGTGGCGCAGCTCTGGATCTACCCGGTGAAATCCTGCAAGGGGGTGCCGGTGAACGAGGCGGAGTGCACCGCCCTGGGGCTGCGCAGCGGCAACCTGCGGGACAGGTACGGCCGAGCGCAGGGACCCGGCGGTGCCAGCTCGGCTCGGGGTTCGGGTACTGGGCTGAGAAGGGAGGAGCGCCGGGGAGGTCTGCAGAGTCGACTGACAGCTCCTTCCTCCCATTACAAAGAAACTGGGAGCTGGGTGAGACAAGGCCAAAGAGAAAAAGGAACCCTCACTTCCTACATCAGACCCCGGGGCTCTGGGACTCTGAGCGCGTGGACCCGCTTTCCTGGAGTGGGCGGTTTTCTACCTCCCACTGGCTCTTTGGCATCATGTGCTCCTGCTGAGGTGTGGTGTCGCTCCCAGGTGTTTGCCAGTGAACAAACTTCTTAATTTCCATGTAGCGGTGGCGGCCAGTTTAAAGGGTTTGGTTCCTGGTCATTTTATTTCGAGTGACTTTCTTGAGATCTTGGGGAAAGCTCTACAGAGTCCTCATTATAGTAATGACAGCAGTTGAATGAATCCCGTCTTGCAGCATAAAAGGGGCCGTTGACCTGGCGCAGTGGCTCACGCCTGTAATCCCAGGACTTTGGGAGGCCGAGGTGGGTGGATCACGAGGTCAGGAGTTCGAGACCAACTTGACCAATAGGGTGAAACCCCGTCTCTAAAAAAAAAAAAAAAAAAAAAAAATACAAAAAAAAAATACAAAAATTAGCCAGGTGTGGTGGCGCACGCCTGTAGTCCCAGTTACCCGGGAGGCTGAGTCAGGAGAAGCTCTTAAACCCGGGAGGCGAAGGTTGCAGTGAGCCGAGATGGCGCCACTGCACTCCAGCCTAGGCGACAGAGACTCCGTCTCTAAAAATAAAATTAAAAATAAAATAGAAATAAAAATAGATAGGGGGCCATTGCAAATGCCATTTTCCTCAATTCTCTCAAGCACTCCTGTGGATAAAGAAACTGAGTTCAGAGCCACACAGCAGCGGGACCAGGACTCTTACTTTCTTTAGCACACTGGGGCGTTGTGAAGAGTGATTCTCTTAATGTCCTGTCTGGGTTCTGAAAGCTGCGTAAATTCCTGGGGTTCAGCGAAGGTTGCAAAACCCGGGAGCCGGCGGCTTTGTCCTCTTTGGGGTCTGGCTTCAGACCAGCTCTGGGACTCATTGTGAGGCTACACTTGAAACTCTTTTCCAGAGCAGCCCTCACAGCTCAGCAAGTAACAGAGGACTGATGGGAGCTGTAACCTCTCTCCTACCAGCTCCCCAGACAGAGAGAGCAATTCATGACATAGTTGAAAGGTAATGGATGCATGCATCTTTGCTTCAGGAAGGAAGCCAAGAATCCTAAATATTCCATGTTTTCTATAGAAGGCTCTGAAAAGTGATAGAATTTACTGAATTAGTTTTTGTAGGCCCCAGAGGCAAAGGGCACTGGCATTTTACTACATAGATTCAAAAAGCAGTTTTTGAGCTCATATTACGATAGATGGTAAGAAGAGCTGGCCTTTGTAACAGACACTGTGATAAATGCTTTATTTTCATCACACACTCCCAAACAGTGTGATCAAGAGAAGCCAACACTGGCTTCCAGTCCTAGGTGATAACTGACTAAACAGAGGTTGTGACAGTGCCAGGGAGCATAGAGGACGCAGGGCTGGAAGCTGGCAGGGGCCATCAGGGACAACTTCAGAGAGGAAGTAACAGCTTGAGCTAAAAACAGGAAAATGATTCAGAACTTGCTGGGTAAGTTAGGAAAAGAACTTTCTAGAGAGGGAATAAGCTGAGCAAAGGTACTCAGCTTGAGAGGATGGGGTATGCTGGGGGAAAGGCTGGGGACTCTATGCCAGGTGGGGGTCCAATCTTTTGGTTTCCCTGGGCCACATTGGAAGAAGAATTGTCTTGGGCCACATAGAAAATACACTAACAATAGCTGATGAACTAAAAAAAAAAAAAAAATCACAAAAACTCATAATGTTTTAAGAAAGTTATGGATTTGTATTGGGCCACATTCAAAGCTGTCCTGTGCCACACATGGCCCATGGGCCACGAGTTGGACAGGCTTACTCTAATATATTTACCAAAAGGAACTGGGACATAAATAGGACGAATGCTCTTTGCAGCATTGAATGTTGAATATTCATTATGACGTTATTCACAAAAGGTGGCAAGAACTCCAGTGTCCATTGATGGATGAGTGGATAAGCAACATGTGCGAAATGCACACAATGGAATATTATTCAGCCCCGAAAAGGAATCGAGTTCTGATACGTGCTGTAACATGGATGGCCCTGGAAAACATAATGCTAATTGAAATAAGTTAGACACAAAATGGCAAATATTGCATGATTCTGATTATATGAAATATCTAGTAGATAAATTCATAGAGTCAAAGTGGATTAGATGTTACCAGGGACTAGGGGAAGGGAAAAACGGGGAGTTATTGCTTAATTGGTACAGAGTTTCTGTTTGGGATGATGAAAAGGTTTTACAAATAGTGGTGATGGTTGCACAACACTGTACTTAAGGCCACTGAATCCGTACACTTCAAAAATGGTGAAAATCACATTTAAAAAATTCCATTCTCTTGGGCTGTTTCTACCTTTTAGCATTTTGAATAAAGCCGCAGTGAACACTGATACACAAATGTCTGTTTGAGTTCCTGTTTTCAATTCTTTTGGGTCTATACATAGGAATATGCTAGGTATTTTATGTTATATATGTTTTACTGCAATTAAAATAAATAAATAAATAAATAAATAAAAGACTGGTCTGTGTGAAGACCTGGGGAGGTAAGAATGGCTGGAGCAGCCGCTGGAAGGGCTGTGCATGCCTTGCTTAACAGTTGGTTTTATCCTGAAAGCAGGAACCATGGAGAGATTGTGAATGAGGGGGTGAGAAAGTTAGATTTGCATTTTAGAAAGATCTAAACTGCCATTACCAGGAAGAATATTAGAATATTCACCTGCTGGTCCCAAGGAATTGGGGGCAGGGGAGGCCTCTGTGCGTGTGGAAGCAAAGTCTGGTAAAAGGGCAGTTAGGGAAAGGGCTTATACTAAGGATGTTTGTCTAGTGTAGCCGAGCAACTCTACCATGATAACCTGCTGGAAGTGATGCAAGAAATATCTTGAATGATCTAAAGTATCTGCCATATTTTTTTCTTACGTCTGGAAATCTCAAAAGCACATGCTTACTTCTATAATTGTAATCATTTGATCAGTGTGTACTGAAATGATTGAAATGCCAGTATGTTTTGCTTCCTTGGTAGCCAAGAGATAACCTACAAAAATGTGTTGTTCTTGTTCTGGAACTGGCTCTCTCTATTGCCCTTATTTCTCCATTTATCTTTTTTCTAGGAACTACCTAGTAGTGTACAGGTGGTTCCTAGAAAAAAGATAAATGGAGAAATAAGGGCAATACTGGGCCAGAAGAAAAATACTGTCTCATTTAGCAAATTACAGGATGCATAGCACTGAATATTGAAACATAACAATTTTTAAAAGGTGGGCGAGGTGAAACTGGCAGAGTGTAAGTGGCACTGTATGTTGCGCAGCTAAACTCCATGCTCTGTGAACTATATGAGCAACAGTCCTGCTATTTCCCTTGACGAGAGCCCACTGCCTACCTGGCCTACCTGGTGCCAGCTCCTGTGTTTCCTCCTGCCCTTAAAGTCTTCCTGTAAAATCGATTCTCGTCATCTGCTTGGGGCATGTTAGATGAAAGCAATCCGGCTTTCTGAAGATTGAGATGAAAATACAATTAACATCTTTGATTTCTGTGCCATCAAGGAGCTCAAACTGTTCCACAGGTACATGTTGGATGCTTGAGTGGTTATTAAGCCCTTTGAAATTAAGTGATAGACTCAGTCCTGCTGGTTTGATATTTAGGACAGACACACACACTCAAACTCCCACACACCAGGCTTATGGGGAAGAAATCAAAGATGATATCAGTGTCTAATTGAAGCTCCCCCAGAGTCTGGCTTCCTGTCATAATGGTTCACACATATCCTGTGTTTTGAAAATGACAGGTTTTGGCTTGTGATCAACCAGGAGGGAAACATGGTTACTGCCTGCCAGGAACCTCGCCTGGTCCTGATTTCCCTGACCTGTGACGGTGACACCCTGACTCTCAGTGCAGCCTACACAAAGGACCTGCTACTGCCAATCAAAACGCCTACCACCAATGCAGTGCGCAAGTGCAGGTAAGGGAAGGGCAGGTCTTAGCCCTTGTGTGGATGAATAGTCATGCAATTTTGAGAAAGCACAAACTCTAGAGGGAATACTGAGAAACATATCAACAATGAACCATCGATTGCATGTGTGCCATATGCAGGGCCAAATCCTCAACATTATGAAGATCTAAAGGAAGGAGAAAGAAGGAAGCAGCTTCAGAAACGTGTTGTGGAGATGACAGACATAAAAGTGCTATGTAGAAAACCATGAGAACAAAAGCATATTGACATCTCAGAGAAAAATACTACCACCCAAAGATCAAGCACAAAAATGGGGTTGGAGTGGTGGGGGTCAGTGTCCTAGCGGAGGTGGAGATTCGATCTATGTATTTCCCTAGAGGTTTTCTTACTTCGCTTGGAAAAAGTGGGTACCTTCTAAATCTGAGTTAGGAAAGGAGTTGCAAATGGCTATTTAGTTCTAATGAAAGGAAGTTCCAAAATAAGAAAGAGCAGCTGCAGCTAGAAGAGTCATCTGGCCAGCGGCTGCCCAGGGATCGGTGTCAGAGTGAGGCTGGGGTGCAACCCAGAAGCGTGTTCTATACAGAAGCCCTACCCTCAACATCAGAAGGGCTTCAACGAAGCAATTCTTCTGGGAAAACTAGATTTGCCTCTAAGAAGTCATGTCTAGAGTTTCTTATCTTATTATGGGAAAATTAAAGTTGGTCCAGTTATATTCTTGTTATAAAAATAGTACATATTCATTGTTGAAAAATTGAGAAATACCAAAAAAAAAAAAAAAAAAAACTCTAAAGAGAGAAAGGAACAAAAACTATCTGTGGTCAGGTGTGGTGGCTCATGCCTATAATCCCAGCACTTTGGGAGGCCAAGACAGGAGGATCACTTGAGGTCAGTAGTTCGAGGCCAGCCTGACCAATATGGTGAAACCCTGTCCCTACTAAAAATACAAAAATTAGCCAGGCTTGTTGGCATGCCCCTTTAATCCCAGCTACTCAGGAGGCCGAGGCAGGAAAATCGCTTGAATTTGGGAGGCAGAGGTTGCAGAGAGCCGAGATCACACCATTGCACTCCAGCCTGGGCAATAAGAGCAAAACTCTGTCTTAAACAAACAAACAACAAACAAATAAACAATTATCTGTGATAACTGTAATTAATATTATGGCATATTTTCTTTCTGTCTTTATGCCTACTATTTTAAAACCAAATTGAAATAATACAAAAAAAGCCCCCAAAGCCTTGAATATTGTTTATATACTTAAATTGATATGTTGAGTATTTTTTCATATTGTTAAAAAATCTTCAAGGATACCATTTTTCATGTTGGCATATTTCATTTTGTGGATATCATCTAATGCATTTTATCCTGCCCCATGATTAAACATTTTGATTGTCTTAATTTTTTTCCTGGTCTGAAGAAGAATGTGATGACCATCCTGGCATAACTCTTTGTTCATATCATTTGTCATTTCATAAGGGAAAAAGTTCTAGCAGTAGTTTTGCTTGAAATAAGAATATGGATTCTGTAGGCTTTTGATACATCTTGCAAAATTGTTTGCAGAATGGTTTTACCAACTGCATTTTAACCATTATGTTAAAAAATATTTTGCCATTTTTATGGGCAAAAATGATAATTTCTTGTTAATTTAATTTGCATTTTTCCCTGAATTAGGTAAGCTTTTAAATATTTCTATTGTAGTTTATATGTCATATTTGCCCATATCCTGGTTTATGCTTATTTGCCATGGTTAGATACTTACCCGTATTTTCCTATAGTTATTTTTTTTGTTTAATTTTTCATTTATTTGAAATTGTGTGGAAACTTTTTTCACAGTGCCATATGGGCATTTGGTCCATGCCCAAAAAACTAAACAAGGGCATGCTTGGAAATTGCAAAATGAAAAGGCTTAGAAGGCTACAGTAGTATACAGACTCTTCAAGCAAAGATTTCAGGGATCTTCTGGATTCAAGTTGCTTTTGACAACCCAACCTATCCTCTTATGAGGGAGTTGTAATCTCAGCCCACAGTTTCCTAAAGATTTCTGATGAGTTCTTGGGGCTCTGGAGTCATTTTCAGAAGGTCGTGATCAGTGGTGGTACACCTGTTTTCATGGTCAAAGTTGTTACTTGACCTTCTCTCAAGCCTTGCCTGCTATTAATAAGATACAGAGAATTAAGGTCTTTTGCTATGGATTATTCAGGCAAACTACCTCAAACCTCACACCACCTCAAACCATGCCTGCATTGTCTTTGTCAAAGGGTCAAAAGTTATAGGAGCATTTGGAATTTTATTTTATTTTATTTTTTATTTTTTGCTTGCACCCTTTGGGACAGTGTGCAGGTGGAGTGCTGGGGCCAAGGTACAGCAGAGGCCAATCAGAACTCAGGACAAATGTGGGAGGAGCAGGAAGAAGACAGAACAAATTCTGTTCGTTGAATAGAACCTCAAGCTCTGAGTGACTATGAACCTGAACCCCAGGATCTGGGAATAGAGGTTGCAATGGAAATCAGTGTCAGATTAACTGGGCAGATGTTTAAATAGCCCAATATAGATGCAAATGCTTTGACTTTGTAAAATTATTTGCTGCCAACTGAAGCCCTAAGGAGTCAAAGCAGCCTTCCTGTCCACCTCCTTCGCTGTGTGCCCTCCCACCCTCCTTTAAAAGCAACAAAGTGAAGCCCTGGGCTGCCGAATGGCAGGTTGAGACTGAGAGGGTGCCTTGATGGGCTGCAAGGGTTCGACTCTGGGGAAAGGAGACTGATTTTTTTTTTTTTTTTTTTTTTTGCATAGGCACCAGCAAAGATGCATCTAACAAGGAGATGACCTTCCAGGCTGTCTCCATACATAGATTTTTGGTAATGCTGCTGTTTCACAAGATGCTTCTGAAATTAGTACTTTAGACATTAAACTTTGCATACACACACATAGATGCTAAGCCCCTCAAATACACTCAGTTCTAGAACTGGTGAATTTGATTTTTGGGAAAAGTAGAACAATTATTTGGAGCTAAACCCTGTGAGTAAGAAGACGATCAACTTATATAGGACCATTCTTTTTTTTTTTTTTTTTTGGGTTTAAAAAATGAGGTTAGGCTTAAAAGTTGTAATAAGCAGACATAATTAATATTAGCTTAGAATGGTTACTTCCCAAGGTGACTGCTCTGAAAGGTACTATCCACTTTGGTGTATGAATTTGGGTATGTTTATTTTATTTATGTTTTATTTTGATCCAGAAAAGACAGACACTCCTGGTGTTGGTAAATGGTCTCATTACTCCATAGGCCTTGCGTATATATTTCAGCCCTCTGCTTCTCAGGATGTCAGTTTAGAATGGGTGGGATGGCAGATGGCAGTGTGTGAAAAGGCATCAAGCCATATACTACAGCAGTACACTTGCTACATGAGTGTTATACTTCTATAAAAAGCTCTAAAAAATTTATGAAAACTTTGAATACACTAATCTCACTGCTTAATGTAACTCAGACACTGTTACTGATAGTTTCGCATTTTAGATAAAAAGCAATAAAATAATATGAAAATATATAGGATACTATACTCAATATATTTTACAATATAAAACTCCATTTTTACATTATTAGTAGAGAATAGGTACCTTTATTTGATTAAATGTTTGATTTCTGGAGGAACTACACAAAGATAGCTTGAAATAACTTGGGTGGGGGACCGTCAGTCACTGCTACTACCTACCGAGCATAACCCAGTCCTAAGAATTGTTTGGGGACTTCTGGATTGTTCCTAATCCTCACAACAAGGTTGTGCTTCCATCCCCATTTTATTGATGAGAAACTGTGTCTCAGAATAAGAAACTATCACCAAGGCCCTGGAGCTAGTCATTTGTGGAAATGAAATGCCCACCCAGGTAGATTTACTTGATGGCCTAGCCTTCTTGGACTTCAGGCATTTGCATGCCACCACCGTGATATGGGCCAAACCACAAGCCACCTGTACTCTTATTTACTTAATATTTTTCTTTAACTCGATTCAGCTTAAAAACGTATCTTAAATACATTTATTTAAAAAGGAAATTTTATATGGCTGTCTATATAATTTGTCAGGTATGTGGCTTTATATGGCTACCTATATAATTGATCTATATGGTTTTATATATACATTTATGTGGCTACTTATAAACTTTATATGGCTACCTATATAATTGGCCAGACGGTAACAAATACTCAATATGCTAAAACATTTACTTTGCCTACAGAGGTCTCTGAACCTAACTTGTGTTCTTTCTTTGTTAAAAGAGGTGATTATCAAGTGTTGCTAAAAGGTAGAGGTTTATTACCATGAAACTGAAAAGAATCACTTTCTCTCTGAGCAATTCACTGTTATTTAATGCTGTACCCAGGCGCCACCTACAGTTATCTTGGAAGCCAGCAGTGGCAATGGTCCTGCACTCTGTGAGACACTGGCCTACACCATATCATTTATTTCCTCTCTACAGCTGTGAAATTCACATAATGTCAAACAGCCCTGCACACAACTATGTGCTGAAGACAGGGAACTTCGAATCCTACAAAGTAATTACTAGCAATCAAATCCAGTAGATGATTATTGTCATTATTAAATAGACTATTATTGTTAATGTTTGTTTTATATAACATTATTATCTGTAACGTTTTAGACTTTATAGAACATTTTCACATTGCTGCTATTACTATGCTGGCAAAGTATAGCCAGGTCTGTGAATAAAGATTTCTGGTCACCATTCAGCTGGGTGACCCAGATTTTGCAGTAATTCTGAGTTTAATTAATTAATTCATTAATTTTTGAGATGGAGTTTCACTGTTGTTGCCTAGGCTGGAGTGTAATGGCATGATCTTGGCTCACTACAACCTCTGCCTCGCAGGTTCAAGTGATTCTCCTGCCTCAGTCTCCTGAGTAGGTGGGATCACAGGCATGTGCCACCATGCCCGGCTAATTTTGTATCTTCAGTAGAGATGGGGTTGGTCAGGCTGGTCTTGAACTCCCGACCTCAGGTGATCTGCCTGCCTCGGCCTCCCAAAGTGCTGGGATTACAGGCATGAACTGCTGCACCCAGCCTGTTTACTTTATAATGACATACTAGTTTTCTTCTGGAGAACTCAGTACATTTTCAAATATATAATTTCATTTCATCCTCCCTGCATTCCTTCCAGGTAGGGAGACACAGCTATACATTACTTGATTTTTAAAATGGAGAAAGCAAGGCTTAAAGGGGTGCTTTCATTTTCACGTGGGCTTATGCAGGTTTGTAGGCAGGGCCAGGACTAAAATTACATCGTCTGGTAATTAAGAAATGACAGTAATGTCACAGCCAGGAGCAGCTTTTCTGATATATCTGGGACATGTCAGGGTGCTCGGATTTTCAAAGCCATGCCTGCCCTTTGCCCCTGCCATCCCTGCAGAGTGCACGGCCTGGAGATCGAGGCCAGGGACTGTGGTGAGGCCGCTGCCCAGTGGATAACCAGCTTCCTGAAGTCACAGCCCTACCGCCTGGTGCACTTCGAGCCTCACATACGACCGAGACATCCTCACCAAACAGCAGACTTGTTCCGGCTCAAAGACCAGGTGAGAGGCTCCACTGACTCCATGGGTGGAAGGCAGTTGCCCCCAGCCCAGAGAGGCACAGGTGACATCTCTGATGACCTCGACTCTGTTTTTAGGGCAGCTGTCTGGTAGCTCAGATCACAAGCAGTAGGCAGAAATAAAGCCCTTCCTTTGGAAACGTTATTTGTTTCTTCATTTGGGGGACTCTTGAATTTTTGCCCTTGAGCATCTAGCTTCCCATTTGTGGAAGCATTCTGTTGCCAGAAGGGTTTCAAAACTCTTCTGCACCAGTGTCTTTTTAAAATTCCATTCTGTAACTGCACATGGAGTCCAGAAATTTTACAGTTTGCAGTTGAAACTCAGATTCCAGTTGTGCAAGTTGGCATGGGTATGGAGATGCACAGACTCAAATGATCGGCCTTAATGGCATAAAGCTATAACGATTCATCATAGAAGCAGGGTTGGCAGCACCATATACTGCTTTGACTGTCACCATAAAAAAAATTATGCTGCAATCCTTGCTACTAAGGAGGCTGAGGTAGGAGGATTGCTTGAGCCCAGAGAGTGGAGGCTGTAGTGACCTGTGATGGCGCTATTGCACTACAGCCCTGGCGACAGAGACCCTGTCTCAAAATAAATAAATAAATGAGCAAATACATAAATTATGGTTCACATAAATATTAATTTGTAAGTTGCATACAAATAAGTATCCATGGAATTAGTGAACATTTAAATCAAACATAATGAGGTCATCAAGCTCAACCACCTTATGAAACATTTGAGAAATTGGAGGCGAGAAAGGTGCAGTGATGTCCCCAAGGGCACATGCCTCATGGCAGCTCTAGGATTGATCCTGAGTCCTTGTTCCTTTCTTTCCACCATGCAGTTCCTGCTATCTGTAAGGCTATCTAAAGCTTCTGAGTCACTGTGACTTCTATTAAAAGAACTAGAGAAATATTTTGAAACACTTTGTGTGAGGTGGGATGGAGTGTGCAGGGAATTCCTAGGAGCTAAGCGCACCTAACCGCTGAAAAGTTGGCGTGCCACACGTTATAACAATGTCTATTTCCTTATCAGATTGTTTACTCAGACGCCAGTCCATTCATGATCCTTTCTGAGGCGTCGCTGGCGGATCTCAACTCCAGGCTAGAGAAGAAAGTTAAAGTAACCAACTTCAGGCCCAATATCGTAATTTCAGGATGCGATGTATATGCAGAGGTAACGATACGCCCCTTTGCATCTTTCCTTGGATTTGACTTCTTTTTCAAGGTATGAGAGTCATTGACAGTGGATTAGGTGATTCCGAAGGATGCATTATTTATTGACTCTGGAATACACAGCAATTTGATTTTTAGGTTTATTGAGCACCTAGTAAGTGCAGACTTCTGTGTGGAGGATACAAATATTGTTGAGTCAGAGACTGTCATCAAGGAGGCAGTTCAGGATCTGAGGCTTCTAAGGAGAATTCTGAGTCAGCAGATTCGTTGTTGAGCTGAATTTGCTTACACAGACTGCAGGATCCGTGTGGCTCACGGAACAAAGTGTGGGCTCCTGTCTTGTGAAAGGACGGTCTTCCTGTTTAGTCGACCGCTCCCTAGGAGAAGATAGGCGTTTACTGCATGGTTGCTGGGTGGGGTAGGAGAGGTCATTGCTCCTAAGCTTGATGGCACTGTCCCAAAACGCTTGCAGTGGCACCTTCCATCTGCCCTCGATGTCTGCATGGTGACTTAGCTTGCACAGCCCTGAGGCTTGGTTTCCTGGATTCCACATGATTCTGGCAGCAAATTTACCTTTGTATTAAATAGCCTCGGCTGTTTAACCTGATTCTCTCCCTTGGCTCCCAGGAAGGCAGAGGTTGGTGGCCTAGAGGCTTGGTGAGTGCCCACCAGCTGTGGATGCTCAGTAGAAACCCTGGCCCCCAGCTAGGAATTCAGGAGCTCTGGTTATGCCTCGTGTTTATGTTGAGAAGGGACAGGTAAAGGGGACAACATAGTGATTCTTACATCTGCCCATTTCCTACCTAACAGGGAAAATTGGAGTCAAAGCAATTGAGTTTTATTTAACATTTTATACTCAGAGGAACCAATTCTGTTCTTCACTTTTGCTGTACAGAGGCAAAACTGTGCTGAAAGAGAAGTAATCTAAGAATTTGATTCCCATATTCAAACCAGAGGATGTGACACCTGGTCTCAGCTTCTGTGCTGGCTTCTGCATGCCTTTGAGCAGCCCCGCCAAGTCCTGTTTTCCTTGCCTGAACAATGAGGTGATCATATTTCTGCCTAGAGTAACCTTAAAGGTCTGTTGAAGGATCAATTTGGATAATGTAATTTATGAGATGTATAAACGCAATGTCAGCTGATGGAAGATAACAAAAGTACACCTAAATCCATCTCTAATGCTTTATATGAAATACTCATTGCTCCAGACTTCCAAGGGTAGCGTTTCTGCTAAAGATGGCAGATAACTTTTTAGTGTGAGGCGGGTGAACTGTGTCAGGTCCCCTACGGTCCTGGGTTGGGCGTCTCTAGGTGCTTCTTTGTGACAAGGGAGCTCTGCATGTCCTGCTCCTGGGCATGGAAAGGCACAGTTTGACTTAGACAACAGGAAAAGAACCAGTGATTGGTTGTCTTTGACCATCTCCTTGATATTCATCTTCCCACCAGCTATGGCCGGGAGAGCCATTTCTCCTGAGAGCATTCCTTCTAAGGAAAGGAGAAATGAGTGGGGAGGGTTTTTAACGAATACTTGTGTTGCACTTAAGGATGTTCTTCCTTCTGTGCCTCACAGCAGCCCAGCGGGGTAAAGTTATTTCCATCTCACAGGAGAGAAGAGAGAGGCTTGGGGAGGTGAGGTGGCCTGCCCTAGGTTATACCACGGCAAGGAGGGGCTGGGTTTTGAACCCCAACTCTACAAGGACAGAGGAACTCTGAGAATTCTAGAGGATATGTGTGGGGCTGGGACAGCTGGATTCTAATCCGCCTGCGTCAGCAAGTGACCGTACAGGCCTGGACAGGTCACTGAGCCCGCTGAGGCCTCTGCTTCCTGCAGTTGTAAAACGTGAGCAATTTCAATGGGTCCCTCGCCTGATGGGAGCTGTGAGAATCAAGATCGATGGCAACGTGTGGCAAAGTCCTAGGACATTAAGTACCACAGAGGGGTAGGAAGAGTTTCATTCCTGGGAGCGTGGCTCAGACACCAGTTTTCTCCCCATGATCGATGTTAAGCTATCATTCCCCCTGGTGTGATCTGTGCACTGAGGGTCATGCTGAAGTCATTTCCACTCCAGAATTCTGTGACAGTAAGGTTCGGATGAGAGGAGAGGAGGAGATGGTCCAGAGTAGAACTTCAGATCTCCGAGAGTTCTTTCAGTTGAATCTGACTCTAAAATCCTGTATCTCTATATCTGAGTGTTTCCTAATTGAGGACATTCCGTATGTGGAGTTGGGCAGTGACACAATGGGTGGCTGAGTCGGGCTGGTTTTTAGTAATTCTCTCATCAGCTGGTGGGTCGCTGGCCCTGTGTGGATGCGCTGTGGACAGACATGTGGGAACAAGGATTGAAGAAACGCACTTGCTTCTCCTAAGGAGCTCAGGTGGTCAGAAGGTGAACAAGCAGTCACAGCCCGGTGAGCTGTGACCAGGAGGGCGGTGAGCAGCCAGCCATGGGGATGCGGCTAATGCCTGCGGCGCGGGGTGCGCTGAAGCCTGGGGCACCCAGGGCTCCGGGCCCAGACGCTTTCTCATGTGTCTGCACTCACTTTTCTGATCTGTTCATTCTTTTCTTTTTTTATCACCTGTTTTCAAAACCTTCTCTGCCCTGTGGACCCCAACTATACCTTCCACCAGAGCTTTCCCCTGCCTTCTCCATATCTCCACGTGGATGTCAAATCCAAGCTCGGGATGTCTGAAATTGAGGGTCGGGTTTCACCCCAAGCCTGCTGTGCCCGTCTGGCCCGGCTCAGCATGCAGCAGCTCTGACTTCTGCTGGCTCGGGCTCCACACTGTGAACCACCCTTTGTTCTTCCCTTTCTCTCACATCCCCTGTTCCTACAGTTGACAAATCTTGGTGGCTGGGCCCTCCTCCCCGCTACCCTCTCCCTCTGGATGCAGTCACTTCTGGTGCTGCGGCAGCCTGGTTCACTGGCCTCCCTGCCCCGTCCTTGCCCCAGCCCTGCCCCGTCCTTGCCCCCTGCCACCATCCACGAGCTGTTCTCAGCGCATCTGTCAAGGCAGCCCTGCTGATGTGAGTAACATCGTGTGATTCTTCTGCTCAAAGCCCTCTCGGGGTTCTCCACCTTTCTTCAAGTAAAAGATGGGGTCCTTATGGATGGTCTTGAGAGGCTAACGTGACCTGCACCCTGCCAGCTCCCGGCTGCCAGCTTCTCTCACTCCCCTCTGCAGTCTCACTCCGCCCCAGCCATGCTGGCCTCCATGCTGTGCCCCGGCCGGGTCCTCTGCCTGGCATACCTTCCCTCACATGCCTCATGGCTCCAGTGCCTTTCATCCCTGCTGCGGACTTCGCTGACCCCACGCACCCAGCCCCCCACAGCACGTCATACCCATCACACCCCCATCTAACAAGCCATGTGTACTCAGGTACTAGTGTGTTGTCTGTTTCCCTATGCTTGCAGGCTCCTTGAGGACAGGGGCTGCTATAGCTCTAGCCCCTAGAGGAGCCCCTGGCACGTAGTAGGTGCTCACTAATTATCTGTGACATGAATGACCAGAGCGGTATTGTCCAGGAGAAAGGGGAGCACTGAAGGAGGGGTGCATACACAGGGCTATGAAGGCACAAGAGAATGGCCACCTCACAGCACTGGGGCTCAGGAGAGGAGGGCAGCTGAGAGCACAGGTATTTGGTGTCAGGTTTTGGGGGTCTGGGAAGGATTTTTGGCCAGGGAGTGACAGAATCCGACAGTTACATAATACACAGTTGCCTCTGTCAGGAGCCTGGCGAAGGATTAGAGCAGGCAGGGCCAGCATGCGGCTGGGAGAGGAGGCTAGCATGGAGGAAGGCCAAGGACCTGCACGGAAGCTTCTGGAAAGCAGACCCACTCCTTGTCTCGGAACCTACCTTCTCAGCACCTTTCTCTGCTTCACTTAATCATCTGCACCCCCCACACTCAGTTCTTACACCTCGCTTCTCCGCAAAGCCACAGCCGACACCCACCCCACCTGCCACAGTCAGTGACTTTTTCTGAGCCACCACCACCCCACCCTGAGGACCCATGGGCGCTACTGACTGAAGCATTTCTCCTCTGGCTGCACGGCCCTTGCTTCTCCACTGTTTGTCCTTGTTCCTTACTTCCAAAAGTTCTAGCCTTGACCCTTTTCTCTACCCTTCTTGGTGATCACTCTGTCTCCTGCAGCGTCACCCTCTGTCACCCGACATATGTCCCTCAAATGCCCATCCTGAACTCCCTCTGGAGTGCTGGGCCACAGTTCCAATTCTCTGTTGGTTGACGGAGAAACTGGGACTTATGTGCTCCCTCCCTAGCTCCTACACTCTCACCCCACCTCCCCAAACTCATTCTTTCTTCTTTTGTTGAAACATAGTCCACTCTGTCACTCACGCTGGAGTGCAGTGGCATGATCTCAGCTCACTGCAACCTCCACCTCCCAGATTCAAGCAGTTCTCCTTCCTCAGACTCCTGAATAGCTGGGATTACAGGAGTGCGGCACCATGCCCGGCTAAGTTTTGTGTTTTTAGTAGAGATAGAGTTTTGCCATGTTGGTTAGGCTGGTCTCGAACTCCTGACCTCAGGTGATCTGCTCCCCTTGGCCTCCCACAATGCTGGGATTATAGCCCCTAAACTCCTGTTGACTTCACAGTTTCTATCCAGGGCAGCACGTTTTTTTCTTTCACCCAGGCTCAGAGTGACAGTTGGCCCTGGATCCTCCTCTGCTGTCTTCCTCCCAGTCCCAGCCACGTCTGCTCCCCTTTCTGTTCTCAGCCACTAGCCATGTCTGACCTTTGTTACTTCAAGTTTGGACCGCTGAGTGCTCCCTCTTGAGCGTTGCCACAGCCACGCCTCCCAGAACTGATCGATGTGATCTCTCCAGCTCCAAAAGTTTGTAACAGCTCATCAGTGTGCTGCTGCCTTGCTCAGAAGCCGTTAGTGGCTCTCTATGTTGCATAGGTCCAAACTCTCCACTCAATCACTACATTCCTCCGTAACCTTGCCACAGTCTGGTTTTCTGGCCTTTATTACCAACCGTATTAGTTTATTTTCATACTGCTATGAAGAAATACTCGAGACTGGGTAATTTATAAAGAAAAAAGAGGTTTAATGGACTCACAGTTCCACATGGCTGGGGAGGCCTCACAATCATGGCAGAAGGCAAAGGAGGAGCAAAGGCATGTCCTACATGGTGGCAGGCAAGAGAGCATGTGCAGGGAGCTACCCTTTATAAAACCATCAGATTTCATGAGACTTACTCACGATCACAAGAAAAGCACGGGAAAGACCCGCCTCCATGATTCAATTACCTCCCACTGGGCCCCTTTCACGACACATGGGGATTATGGGAGCTACTGTTCAAGATGAGATTTGGGTGGGGACACAGCCAAACCATATCACCAACGAAAGCTCCAAACTGCAAACTGGACCAAGAACCTAATAGATAGTTGCTGTTTCCTGGTCCCTGAGAATCTTAACTCCCTTCGCTGCTTAAAACTCTTGACTTTCTCCAAAAGCCTGGATTAAAAGTCCCCTCCCTGGGAAGCTTGTTCTGATTGCCGGACCTCAAAGCACCACCACACTGTGCTCTGTGCCTCTCCCATACCAGGCTTGTCCTGTTTTAACTGGTCGCGTCCAGGTGCTGAAGGAGGACTTTCTTGGGCTCAGCATAGGTTATGACTCAATTCCCAGTAGTTTTTACTGGACATAGAAGAGGCTCTGGAAGTATTTCTCTAATTAATAATAACTTAATTCCCTAAGTGGAACCCTCATTTCTCTCCTTTAGTACCCTTTATGTGTTTTTGTGGCCACAGTGCCCCCTTGTGGACAAATGTTCACAGGACAGGCTGTGGCTGTGCTAATCCGCTGTGTCCAGTTTTCTGGACTGTTGAAAATATGCTCTTGAGACCCATTTTATGATTTACCACAGAACAAAACCCCCGCGGCACATGTATCAAGAATAACATACACTACTGGAGTTAAAATTCTGAGCTTGAAACTCTGGCCTTCAGCTCATGATCAACCAAGGACAAGGCAGTTTGCTTTTTAACTCCCGGTCTTTGCCTTTTGCCCTAGTGTGGCGGGCACTTCTCTCTGATAGTGAGAAGGTCAGGACTATAATCAAATGTCTCCTCGGTGCCCTTCCTTCTGATTGCTGTCCCCTCTGCCTGGAGTCCCCTTACTCTTCTTTCGTGCCTGCCCTTTTAGGCTCAGCGTGCATCTCACCTATTCCATAAAACTCCCTCTAACCAGACCAGCCTGGAGAGCTGTGCCTCTAAATCCCCATAGGAAGTATTGCCTGCACAGTTAAACCAACACGATCTGTTGCCTTGGAGTGCTTTTTGTGAGCATTTCTGGCATTTAAAAATAGAGTATGTTTAGCGTTCTTAAAAATAATGCTATTTTTTGGTCCAGTTTGCAGTTTGGAGCTTTCGTTGGCGATATGGTTTGGCTGTGTCCCCACCCAAATCTCATCTTGAATTGTAGCTCCCACGGTAGCTCTTCTTCTATCTTAAAAATAGAAGCGCTTTAGCGTTCCATGTATGGATGGTCTATCTCGGCTGCTGGATTCAGGGGCATGGTCCACTGATGCGGTTTGTCGTGGAAAGTAGGCTTCACTGACCCAACCCACAGGCAATGCCTGCGGAGTGCCCCTGGCTGCAGTTCTCCATAAACGCTCAAGCAAAGATCAAAGAGGAATGAGGCTGCTGGTCCGGCTCCTGATGTGTCTGTATCTGGCCAGGGGAGACATGCGCATACGCAATGACTTAAGGCTCTGAATCCATGTAACTTGAGGCTATTAATCCATAAAACTTCAGGCAGGCACGAAGGGATCTGATACAACCTGAAGTAATGAGTAATCCTCCCACTTCCACCCACCCCACCCACCTTGTGCACCCCACCCCCCATCAGGAGTCAAGTGGGATGATCAGGGGTCCTCCCTTAGGGAGGTGAGTTTCCATGACAGTTTTGTAAGTGAGAGGAGAGAGAGTGTCTCGTCTGAGGGGAATGAACTGGCATATCAAAGCCAGAGAGAGGGAACATGAAGGTGTGGAGGTATGGCTTGACAGAGCAGGGCTGGGGAAAACAGAAGGCTGCCGTCACTGATGCAGGTGACATCGTTAGGTCTGAGGGCTCCTGGGAAGTCCCCATATATGTGTCAGGGCCAGGGCCCAGGGGTGCTCATGGGAGTTTGTGCTTTGTCCCCAGGATTCTTGGGATGAGCTTCTTATTGGTGACGTGGAACTGAAAAGGGTGATGGCTTGTTCCAGGTAAGGCGCTTTCCTGTCCCTGTGGGGTGGGGGTGGGGATAAAGTCACTCTGCTCTGTCCCCCTTATGATGCTCTTTGTGTGTGTCCAGATGCATTTTAACCACAGTGGACCCAGACACTGGCGCCATGAGCAGGAAGGAGCTGCTGGAAACGCTGAAGAGGTAGGATTGGGCAGACGGGGTCTCATCCTCGGACTTAGGTGCCTGGAACAGAAGTAATATTTGTTGCTTAATGTTTATACAAGGAAGCAGTGAGAACACCACACACATAGTCTTGAAGCTCAAGGGGGTCCCATTAATGAGATAATTTGGGAAATATTTCCAGGTGTTTTGGGTGCCAGCATGTCTGCTTAAACAAATAATTTGATTTTTCATTTAGAATTCATAATTCAAATAAGTCAATTTTTAAAAATTGCTGACGTATTTGGGCAAATTTTATTATACGCCGAGTGTTAGCTGATACCAAAAAACGTACTGGGTGTTCTAATGGCATTGCGGTTATGTAAGAAATGTCAATATATTTTAGAGAGGCTGATTGAAGCGTGTGTGTAGGAGTGAAGTGATGTGGCATCTGGAACTTGCTATGTATTATTTTAGCAAAAAGAAAAAAAGGATAGGTGAGTTCATTTAAAAAATGTGCTACAATCTTCATAAATAGAATCTGGGTGATAATTATGTGAGGGTTTATTGCACTAGTCTACATTTGTTTACTTTAAAATTTCTTAAGAAAAAATTTTAAGTGAAAGACACAGTACTGAGAATCATTTTACATTGTGTGTAAAGATAGTCAAGATGCCATGTTGATTTTACAAAGGTGATTATAAAATAGCACCATTTACTTTTTCATTTTTGTTTATTTGATTTTACTTTTTAAAAAACACGTAAATTCACATGAGTAGATAAAAGGCTGAAAGAATATAAAACAAAGTGTTACTGGAGGTGATCTGCTGGGTGCGGTCATAGGATTGTGGAAAAAGGTTATTGCTATATGTAGGCTCTAAACTTTCTATAATTCCTCTGCATTACTTCTGCTGAAACAGCAACAACAATAGTTTAGTATCCAAGAACTTCAGTGCTGTTATCTGACACATTTGGGACCCAGGAAATTGCTGAAAGTCTGAAAATGAACTAAGGGTGCTTCTCTTCATTGGTTCCTTTGACATTGAATGCAGAGTCACAGGCCGGGTGTCAGGTCTCATCTCTATAGTCCCTGAGACCCTTCCTTGCCTTTAGTCCTGATTTGTCATCCCCAGGTGTAACTTGTAGAAGGGGGGGTCCTGGGAACCTTGAGGAGGGAATGCAGTTGAGATGTGACTATCTTGCATGAAAACCTTCATGAACGAGAACATGATAGAGAGCTTGTGCTGGGCTTTGTGGAGGAGGACTCACTCCCTGTAACATGAGGCTGCCTGCCTCCCTTCCTTTCAAGTTCATGGCCTTTTGGGGGGCAAATCAGTCTTCTCTGATCAGCACCAATCCCTCCCTGACAATTCTACTGTCCCAGATCTGGCCCCTCTCTCTGGGCAAGCTGAAGCCCTGGGCTGGAGGGCTGTCATCCCAGCTGTCACCTGAGCATGAGGCTCTGTCTGGCCTGACCTCTCTGGCCAGCACCTGTAGTCCAATAGGAGATGAGCCCCAGGGTAGGGGCCAGGCTGCTGCAAGGTCGGCAGGTGGCCATCAGGGCCTAAGCCACCTGGCAGAGAGACAGCGGTCAGCAGGGAAGTCAAACAGGGTTGATGGAGGGAGTTACAGAGAAGGGGGTTTGTGGGACTCAGGGAATCCTTGAGGTGGATCGCAAGCGGCTGCTCTCTACCTGGCTCCGACAGCCTTGGGTGTGATTTGCAGCAATGTTCAAAGAGGGGGCTACAGACCAGCCTAAGGGAATCCCAACATTTTGAGGGATGTTTCTCAATACTCAAAACATTAACAACTTTTCTGTAAAAAACTAATACTGTGGAACATTTAAGATTGGTATATTTCATTCCATGTAACTTTCACCTCAAAAAAAAAAAAAAAAAAAAAAGCAAATAATGTTGTTTACTTTCAGGAATAATATTCAAGCTGAACTGTTCAGAGGTGAAATGTACTGATACCTGCAGCTTACTTAGAAATGCAAAAAGACAATACAATAGGTTGATGGATAGATATGTATGTGATAAGGAAAATATCATCAAGACCGGGCGCAGTGGCTCAGGCCTGTAATCCCAGCACTATGGGAGGCTGAGGTGGGCGGATCACTTGAGGTCAGGAGTTCGAGACCAGCCTGGCCAACATAGTGAAACCCTGTCTTTACTAAAAATACAAAAATTAGCTGGGAATTGTGGTGGACACTGTAGTTGTAGCTACAGGGGAGGCTAAGGCAGAATCGCTTGAACCGGGAGGCAGAGGTTGAAGTGATCTAAGATTGTGCCACTGCACTCCAGCATGGGTGACAGAGTGAGACTCTGTCTCAAAAAAAAAAGAAGAAAATATAGTCAAGTGTTAAGTGTGGAATTCGAGCAGTGGGTAAATGGGTGTTTGCTGTAAAATTATTTTACTGTTTGCCTGTTTGGGAATTTTCACAGTAAAATTTTGGGGGGAAATGTCAGTTTGTGTGATGGAACATTGATGGGAGGAGCAGCGTTATAGTTATTCTTTGAAATGTGCTCACTCACTGTCAGAACAAACCAGAATTCAGTCTTTCTGTTTTCCATGGCTACAGAGGAGCTACAGGGGGCAGAAAGCAGGGTGGGCCAGCAGGAAGAGCCTGGCCTGGGAGTCTGGAGGCCTGGCTGTGCAGCACACCGACTGCTGTGCTCTCCAGCACGTACGTCCCCTCCTGTCCCCACCCCCACTCAGGCCCTGCGCGTTCTTCCCTATAAAATAAGGGAGGCAGGACAGAAATAGAGGATTCTGTGTAAATCAGCCAAATGGTTTGGGGAATTGGCTGTCGTCCTTTTTTGTCTATCTTGCTGTCTCTTTCCCCCAGCGTGTTGCTCGGTGTGGGGCGTCTTTCCCTCTGGATTTAGAAGGTTTATGCTCTTGCAGAAACAGTCTCCGCAAAGCACTTCGTGTGTTTGGGCTTGTTCTCTGAATCTTCAGCGCCCCCCTTCCTCCACTGGGAGCCTGTGTTTATAGAAGGAGGATAATTGACCCTAAACACAGAGTGAGGGCGGGAAGGTGGGGGGCGCAAGGAGCCAGCACACCCCCCTGATCTTCTGCAGGCTTTGTGCAACCCAACAATCTGGCCCTAATTGCTTCTAATACCCCAGGAGACAGTGCAGCTAGCCTAGGTGTCTTCTCCTATCTCTTACTGAGATTTAAACTGCCATGGATGTGTAATTTATGTTCTTCTCAAGACAGGTGGTCATAAGTCGGGAAGAGAAAGTCCTGGCTGCATCCCATAAATCATGGGTAGGGAAGCAAACAGTGGTGTCCACAGCATCTCTGCTGTCGGGCAGGTTGCTCGGAGCTACACCGCTTTCTGCCTCCAGGTACTCATGGTGCCCACGGCTGGGGTTGCTTCTGGAGTGCAAGTGCTCAGCTGGGAGAACTCTCTGCCTGCCCAGCCCTGCCTGCTGATGTTAGTCCCCCATAGGCAGAGCCCAGGTGGCACCACAGTGCCAGAAAAAGAAATACAGAGGCATAGGGGAGCCTTTGTAAAATAGTCACAGTGGGCAGCGCAGTGGAGGCCTGTCTGCTAACAGGAAAATACGAAAATGGAATTTTTCTTCTCTTTCTTAAGGGAAAGTGACGTACACACTGATCCCCATGGTTGAATGACTGGCCTGCCATTGTTGCTTCCATGACATCTTGCCCCTAATGGAAAGAATATAGCACAATTACTGCATGGGTACTCAAAACAACGTTTCGCTGGATGCACGAATACCAGGACGGTAGTGATGTTTGCCAGCAGCCACTTGTGTCAGGCTGTGCTCTGCTGAGCTGAGCACAGAGGATATAGCAGTGGTGACTCCGTAGGAGGAGACAGAGCCTCCACCCCTCTCGGGCTGTGTCACCTACTAATTGTGTGAGATTGGGAAGTCGCTTGGGTTCTTCAACTTGCAGTTTCTTTATTGGTATAAACTGGACTTCTAATGCCTCTTCTGGAGACTGGAATAAGGCATGAAATAGGAATTTTTAAAATAGATGATGGAATACCGTACATAAGGTCGGGGGTGGTGGCTCAAGCCTGTAATCCCAGCACTTTGGGAGGCTGAGGTGGGGGAATCACCTGAGGTTGGGAGTTTGAGACCAGCCTGATCAACGTGGAGAAACGCTGTCTCTACTAAAAATGCAAAAAAATTAGCTGGGTGTGGTGGCAGGTGCCTGTAATCCCAGCTACTCGGGAGGCTGAGGTAGGAGAATCGCTTGAACCTGGGAGGCAGAGGTTGTGGTGAGCCAAGATCGCGCCATTGCACTCCAGCCTGGGCAACAGGAGCAAAAGTCAGTCTCAAAAAGAAAAAAAAAATACTGTACACAATGACCATGTAAGCTGTGGTCATGGAGAGTCCCTGTTTATAAACTCAACACCTCCTGAGAGGAGGAGAAGCCTGATGACCCTTCTTCCCATTCTCAGAGGCTGCTTTAAATGAAACCCAACACGAACTTGCCCAGTGGCCAGCCTCTGGGGGTTCAGTGTGGGACCTCTCTCTGGAGTGTTCACAATGCTGTTTAATTATTTTATTTTATTTATTTATTTTTTGAGACAGAGTCTCACTCTGTCACTCAGGCCTGAGTGCAGTGGCATGATCTCGGCTGTCTGCAACCTCCACCTCCCGGGTTCAGGCAATTCTCATGCCTCAGCCTCCTGAGTAGCTGGGATTACAGCCATGTGCCACTATGTCTAGCTAATTTTTGTATTTTTAGTAGAGATGGGGTTTCACCATGTTGGCCAGGATGGTCTCAAACTCCTGACCTCAGGTGATGTGTCTGCCTCGGCTTCCCAAAGTGTTGAGATTAACAATGCTGTTTAATTCTTAACCTGGCCATAGAGATAGGCAGTCATGAGGCTTCTGCTCCTGGTGACTTATGGCCCCATGAACACCAGTGGCAGGACTGGGCAGTGAGCAGAGACTGCCTGGGGTCATGACCTGGATGCTGACCAGTGACTGAGTAACCCAGGCAGTGTAAACAAGGGACAGCCCTCTGCGGTGCACAGCACTTTAAAGGTAACAAAGTTTCCATTTACATTGTACCTTGTAAATAATGGAGACCTCGGTTTAAGCCAAATAAAGTGTCTTGGGCTTCTTGCTCAACAGAATAGTTATGTTTTATATTCATTTAAGGAAAAAGTGCACTAATAAAGATTTTAAATGAGTTTGTAATTTATTAATACCAACAGGAATAGCTACATGAAAAGTCATATATTAAAAAAAATCATAGAAGTCTCATGTATGAAACAACACTATTTTCTTTCTGTCTGTTGAACTTGGTGTGCACACAAATTCATAGGCCGCTTGCAATACCTGTTATTGCCACAAGGGGCCGCTAGTGACCTCGTTGAGTCTTCCCACAGCCTGGAGGCAGCAGCAGCACCAGCAGCAGCAGCAGCAGCAGCAGGAGGTGGCGCAGGAGGCGGTGGGAGCCCGCAGCAAAACCAGGCAGCTGTAGGGAAGCCCTGGCAGGCTGGCGAGCCGAGAACCACTTCTCCACTCCCATAGCTCTTCCCACTTCTCCACTCCCATAGCTCTTCCCACTTCTCCTAGACAGCGGAGTGGACTGCCGCCTGGGAGCCGGTGACCACACCTGCACTTTTACAAAGCAAATCCCTGAGCCCGATCTGTGCAGTTTAGGGAGGCTGTGCCGGGTGGGGCCCTCTTTAGGGCCCTCTGCTCCTCATGACCTGGTTGGGGAGTGAGTGTATGTGTGTGGTTAGCAGGAGGGTGTAGGTAAAACCTGTAAGTGGCTAGAGATTTGTGTAGATGACTAAATTGTGAGACCCTCGGATCTTCTCAGGCCTGCGGGCGTACTCAGGAGGATGCCGACCACCAAGGTTACATCCTGGGTGGGAAGAGCCCACCAGACTCTGAAGTCAGCCAGGCCTGGGCTCTGGCCCCAGCTGGACCCCTTAGATCTGTGATCTCAGGCAAGTCTGTTACTCCCCTGAGACTTAACTGTAAAATGTAGAGAGACAAATTCCCACATAGGCAAGTTGTAAGTATTAAAAGAGATAACTTGTGTAAAGTTCCTTGTAAACTCTCCATGTGTGATATGCAGAGCTCTGACTCTCAATTTCTTCCCAAGGTAATGAGAGCCTGGACTCTAGGCTACAGAGCTTGGCAGCAACAGAAATCCCAAGCTATACAAGCCACTGATGTGTCCCCTGTTCCTGAAGAGGCCCTCTGACAGATAGATCCCAGAATGTCATGAGCATTGCATGCTGACAGAGGAGAGCCAGACTAGGAGAGAGGTCTGGGCTTGTCAGGTCCAAGGTCACTGCAGAAACCTGATTACAGAGAGAGGAAATACTCTTGGCAAGGCAGGGAAGCCTGCATCAGCAGCTTGTCATTTTCATTCATTCATTTGTTCATTCATTGTTCAACCAATATATATTTTTTGAGTGATTACTGTGTATGTATGAGGCACTGTTCCAGGCCATGAGAATGCAACAGGGAACAAAGTGGACATAGTGCTGCCTAGAGGATGTTTACAGTCTGGGGAAGGAGCTGCCGGTCTCCAGACGGAGGCTTTAGATTTGACTCTCTGTTTTCTCCTTAGCTATTTCTGATTTGAAGAACAACATAGAACTAAGTTGTTGCAGTCACTTTTTAAAAAAGCAAGGCAGAATGAAATGATTTATCTAAAAATGTTTTAAATATAAAAATGATGTAAAATTAGAGTTAGATTCAATAAAAAACTGAAGGTTAACTTCTTCCCAGTGGGGAAGGTGGAAGGAATCTTGCCATGTTAGCCCCATACATCTGCTCGTGTGCCCTCTCCCTGCGGCTTCTTGAGCTTTCCGCTGGACAAAAATATTCATGTATCTACTGTCTCTGACAGATGATTTGACTTGTGAGCATACCAATCCATCTAGCAAACAATGGGGGGTCACAGGTGACATAGGAGGCCCAGCATTGGGTGTGAGCAGTACAAGGGCATTAATCACAGTTCCTCTTCTCTGGGACTCTGCCTTGTAGAACAGACAAACTTGTGCCCTGACATTACAGGACAAGACATGTGAGTGTTGGAAGGGCAAAAAGAATTGAGGAGGGGGAATTACTCGTGACTGGGGGATCCTGGGCTTCCTTCCTGGGAGATGTGGTATTTGAGTTGAGACTTCAAGCAGGTATAATTCTAAAGCATGAGGATCTGGAGGAGGGGCATCCCACAGGAATCACTCACTGGGTCAGTAAAATGCAAAGCAAGGTGAAACCCAGCAGAGAGCTGCAGAGGTGCAGGTAAGGAGCAGATGGTAACAGGTTTGAAAAAGCAGGCAGCGGCCAGGTGGAGCCCTACACACCAGGCTGAAGAGTTGGAATGTTATTCTGTAGGCACTGGGGAGCCATGGAAGGTTTGTGAGCCTAGGAATGATAAGACCAGGGTACAGTTAAGACAGTGATACAGTGCAGCATCAACAATGAATTGAAAACAGGTAGAGAAAGAGGAAGAGAGGTTGGTTAAGAAGTTATCACAACAGTTCGAGCATGTTGGAAGCAAGATTGTGACAGCGGGAACGAGGAAAAGCAAGCCAAGTCAAATGATGCTGTGCAGGAAGAACCTTGGGACCGGGCAACTGTGGACAGGCTGTGGGAAGGGAGGACAGGTATAAAAGGATAGGCTCCCAGCCCAAGCATCGGCTAGGACAGTGGTTCAGGTGACAGACTGGAGGAGACAGGGGGAAAGATGCCTACGGCAAAGGAAGGCGATAAAGTTTGTCTAGACATACTGAGTACCTAACGTCTTAATGCCGAAAAGGGGAACATGAACGTAGAGAAAAGATGTGAGGATGTGGCCATTGCTTATGCTTCTGTAGTTGTTTGCTGGGCAGGCTGCCCACTGCCCCCTCCAGGAGGCGCTGTTCTGTTAGGCTTTGTTGGGATGGTGCCCTCTGGAGCTGTGCACGCGGAGGCACTGTGTGGGGTGGAAGCCACGTGCTTGTTGAGCTCTTGCGTCCGCTTGGCTGTGACTCATCATGATCTTTTCCTATTGCAGTTATCGCCAGTGTGATCCTTCAGAACGAAAGTTATATGGAAAATCACCACTCTTTGGGCAGTGTTTTGTTCTGGAAAACCCAGGGACCATCAGAGTGGGAGACCCCGTGTACCTGCTGGGCCAGTAATGGGAACCGTATGTACTGGAGTATTAGACGCCTTTTAAAAATGCACTCAAAAATGACAACACTTGAAGCATGGTGTTTCAGACCTGAGACCTCAACATTTTTTTTAAAATTTGTGATTTTCACATTTTTCCTCTTTTGGACTTCTTGTGTCTCAATGCTTCAGTGTCCCAGTACACAAAGCAAAGGATTATGGTCTCAATAACTTAGTATGACTTCAGTGAGTCACTTAAGTGACAAGATAGGCTTCTGAAACTCGTTGTTTAACTATGATTATGGAGTAGTTCTTTCTCCTGCTTCTCCGTTTATCTACCAAGAGTGCAGACTTTCATCCTGTCATTACCACTCGTTAGGGAAAGAGAAGAAGAGAAGGAGGAAGAGTGGGTGGGCCAGAAGAATGTCCTAGAATGTGTTTTTACCCCTGTGCATGAGGTATGCAATGCAAATTAGCTCCCCAGATATGGGTGGAATGTCACTTCCCTTTTCTTCTCCAGCCCTGGGCTAGCTTTTGAGATGGCAGTAAAGAACCGAGCTTCAGGAAGCACTGCAGATACTAATTTTCCATAGATCGTGGATCTGGCGCTGCTGCTTCTCAGACAGCCCTGGAGTTCCTAAAGGTGCTCAGGAGGGTCAGGAGGGTAGTTGTGTAGTCACGGAGGCCTCCTGGATCCTTGCCGTTCCGCTCAGCTCATGCCTGGGTGCACCTTCTCCAGTTCAGGGTGAAAGTTCTGAAGTCTGCAGAGGAGAAGAAAAGTGATTTGGTGATTTTAAATAGATTGCTGAAAACCTTTAAAGGGAGAAAAACGAAAGCATATGTCAGTTTGTTTAAAACGCAGTATCTATTTTTTTAACTGATTGTGTAACACTAAGATCTGATGAAGTGTGTCTTTTATTGCCATTTTGTCCTTTGATTGTATTGGGAAGTTGACTACACTTGAAAAATATTTTAAAAACTGTGAATAAATGGAAGCTACTTTGGTAAGTTTGAGATCTTACTTCTTGGCACAAAGTTAGAGTGTGAAAGCTGACTGAGGCTGGGCAGAAGGGTTCATGCCTGTAATCCCAGCACTTTGGGAGGCCAAGGTGGGAGGATGGCTTGAGCCCAGGAGTTTGAGACCAGCCCAAATGATATAATGGGACCTTCTCTCTACAAAAAAATTTTAAAATGTGCTGGGTGTGGTGGCGCATGCCTGCAGTCCTGGCTATGGCCACTTGGGAGGATAAGGCAGAAGGACTGGTTGAGCTCAGGAGCGGGAGATTGAGGCTGCAATGAGCTATGATTGCACCAGTACACTCCAGCTTGAGTGACAGAGTGAGAGCCTATCTCTAAAAAAGAAAAAAGAAAAAAAAGAAAAACGACTGAGGTGAATGGGCAAAGCTGATAATTCTGATACCTGACTACAGCTGGGTCTTCTGTGCAATGAACCTGCTTACCCGTAGCCTCCCAGGCAAGCACCCACCTTTGAAGGACTATCAAGTCAACGTGCTTTTTACCAAAAGCTGTGCATTTTTCACTTTGGTTTTATAAAAGAGGTCAGTAATCGCTGAAATGTGGCCTGAGGTGAAGCTCTGAGCTAAGAGGTACATGTGCTTGTTTTCTGGTTGGTGAATGACTACAATTTGTTTTCTGCACACTTGGCATCAGGTGAAGAATTACATCAGTTATCCAGAGAACTTGAGCCATCACCTTCCCCAACAAGTCCAGTTGATGATGAAACTATAGATAGATGGAGACAAAGTGAAGTGTTCAGCAAGTAGCATTACTAATGGGACCTGGAGGACCCATGGGACAGTGAGCGTACATGGGATTTAGGAAACCACGTGAACATTGGCTCTCTGGGAATAGCCAATAGGTAGAGAGAAATCAGAAACCCAAGGTTGGATTTGGTGGCTCTTGGTAGGTATTTATAATTAATGGCAAGTGAACGCCTTAGTCCTGAATTTTAACCACTTGTAAGAACAAACAGCCACTTCTCCACGCCTGATCAGTGCCAAAGGTCACACTTCAGGCAGTACCCCTCATTCTCCATGGACAGGCTCTCGGGGTAGCTAGCTCTGCAGGGCAGCTCCCAGATGGAAGGGAGCACCCAGAAACCCTCCTCACTGGGCAGACCTGCCATTCTGTCACACTGTGAGGAAGATTCTTGTTTGAAGAGAGAAGTTCCAGTGACCTCTAGAATCTCAGAGTAGTTGCCAAGCTTTCTGTCAGTGAGATTTAAAGGCCATTTACTTGTGTTTATTTTATACTTAATGAGTTGGTTAATGCCAGAGACAAAGCTGATGTCCCATTTATTTTGGATACTGAGCATTTGCACACTATTCCACTTAAAATGTAGGATTGGGAATGTAGGCCAGCCCAGATTTTCAGATCTTACAACAGCGGATGATGGACGTTTGGGGTCAGGACAAAGTATCTACCTTCGGTGGGCGTCTCCTTCTGTGCAGGGCAGTGGAGAGTCACAAACTCAGAGCTGAAGGTCTTGAAAAGGACAATGTGGGCCAGGCTCCAGAGGGGCTGCCTAAAGGCTTGCTTTTGCAGCTATTCCACAGAAAATGTTAGAAACCTGCAACTGAAAGACCAGAGCAGCAACTTATGCATACGAAGGCAGGAAGAAATCAGGGTGGGCTGATAGAATTCAGGCAGTTGTCCTACAGGGAGACACATTCCTGCTTTCCTTCTCCCTTTACTGATAATAGGGTGGGGTGAGCAGATGAGCTTGTGAAGGTCTGCCAATTTAGTAAGAGTGCATGGGGAGGTCAGGTAAACTGCACTAGCCAAATGGGACTTTGGGAAACCATCTATGAGGCTGTCACCAACAGTGATGGTGAGCTGAAACTCCAGGCAAGTGCTCTGGGCATTCTGAGAGTGTAGCAAATTAAAGCAACCCATGATAGTGGAGAACAGATACATTAAAGTCTCTTGAAAGTGACAGAGTGGCTCTCAGACCAGACATTGATTATAGGTGTAATCGGGGTGTTGATAGCACACCCTAACACTGCATTTCCCAATGTCTTATTGGTCCATGGAATTCCGAAAGTTTGCCTTTAGGGTTGCTCCTAAAAAGAATTCCATGGACCAGTAAGTTTGGAAAGTCCTCCTTGCCTCATTTCTCTTTAAAGGCAGAAGGCTCTGGAGAGTCCTGCATGAAGACATCTGTGTTTTATGCCACCCTTCCGAAAGATCTGTTTTTGACTGTCTTTTGAGAAATACACCTCTGATCTTCAGACAGAGAGTCAGCCAGTCAAGGAATCCCAATTAGCAGGAGAAGTCCACTCATGGGAACACTGAAGAAGTTAAAAGTGTCCCCGTGTGAAGGAGACCTCTCTTGGGATGCTTCCTCTTGTCCTCTCCCTTGTTGCTTCTGCTGGGGTAAAAGGATGGAACTGGGACTTGATAGGTTAAAGGAGGTGTGGGGAAGTGTCTCTCCTGTTGTGAGCCTTAGGGAGAAGCACTTCTTTCTTTGGGATCATTTTCCACACTTGCATTCCTGGATATCCAATAATGGATCAGGGTGAGGGAAGGTAACCCAGACTCGCTCTAGTCCCACCCTTACAGCAATACCTGTGGTGTAAGTTACAACAATACCTGTGATGAAAGTGCTCCAGGATGCGCCATGCAGCAGGGAGGCATGCGCTGTTTCTCTTTCGCTAGCTTTTCCTTTCTATTGCAACTCCTCTCATCTACTGTTGCGTCCCATCCTATGAGGCAGAATTACCTCAGGGTCCTATGGCCCTGACCCTACCTACATCTGCATGAGGCACTACTGTGCTTTGCTATCTGTGAGATCAGACGTTGTTTGCTCCACTACTTTCTTTGAAATGGGTGAATGAGTTATGATAATATCTAAAGTTACCCAATTTCAAGCAAGAGGAAGACTCTGGCTTGGTACCACAAATGTTCTTAGAATTGGGACAATAGAAAAGTACCTGAGGCATCCCGTGGTCTCCTCCAATCACACTGTCTTCAAAGGAAGAGGCTCGGGCACAGCTCTGACTATAACCTCTCTCTCCCTCCTAACACAGCTGAGGATTGGGTGCTGGAGCACCTGCTCCCATGCTCTGTGGCCTGGCTGAGAGAGAAGAGTTGCCTTAATTACATTATTATTCTTCCTGGACAGGCTGTAGGTTGTGTAGGGTAACAGAAAGGACTGAGAAGTGACTTCCCATTCAGCTTCTTCCAAGGCCACTTTTGATGGGAAGGTCAAGTTCACTCACATTTGGCTATTTGTTGACCAATCTAATGCATTCACCGCTGGTGGTCCTCAGTCATGCTCCTTTACCTTCGCAGAGCATTCTAGGCTGCTCTTCCTTTTACCTTTTTTGTGAAATCCACAACCCCTAGTCCCTCCTCTTCACTGGTGTCTCTTATGCCCTCTACCAATTCCTGACCTGGTACTGGTCCGTCTCCAATCCTGGTGGAACCCTGTGGAAACTAAGTCGAGTCTAACTTCTGTCTCCCTGTTTAGAATTTACTGGGAGTACTGTAAATAAAGTATTGTTGTCATAATTATTTCTGATTAGCATTTTTACACCTAATGAAGTCTCAGAGAGATTGAGTTTATTGGGTCTAGGGGAGGGGCACCTTCCACATGACTTGCCCAGCAATTAAAGCCTCTTGTTAGTCCAAGGCCTGGGACGGCCGAGGACAGCTGGAGAGCTCTTCGTTGCAGGCAGCTCTGGTTAACATCAACCAGGAAAGCTCTTTGTAAACACATGAATAATTGATCGTCCAGCGCTCACATAGCTACCGCGGATCTGAGCCCGTATGACTCATTTGCGAGCCATTCCTGTCGTCTGGATGCCATAACATTGGAGGAATGATGATGGTTTCTTGGAGGTTCTTCTGTGGCCAGAGTTGTCAAGACCAAGGCTGTAATGGTTTGTTATGATGACCTTTGTTATTCCATTAGGCTCAATTGCTTTAAAAAATGATGTGTGCATACTTTAGGAACGTTTTTACCCTTTATGTTGACCTGACATCATAGTTTATATTACAAAATGTATTAATGACAGAGGAGTGTTTTCATGTCCCAAGGACAAATTTTAACAACTATAATCTGCCCTTAGTCATCATAAATATAAATGTATTGGTCAAACAGATCTCGTTAATGTGGCCAAGATAAATGCAAGTCCATATTTTAAGGCAGTCGAAGTCCTAGAGAATATATTTAGAGCTTTTTGTGGGGCTATGAGATCTTGTATGTGTGCTATCAAAAGGCTGAGAAAACTAACATGCTCCCCCCTCTGATTTTGCGTTGGACAGATATAAACGTCTTGGGGATGTCGAGTAAGATTATTCACATAGTTTCTGGACACCATTAATGCCTGATGGGGTGAATCTTAGTTCTTAAAGCTGTATTCTTCTCATTACGCTCACAGGGCTTTTGAAAAGAGAAACAAAATAAAGATTTCAAGTCTTAGCAATGTGCTGCCCAGCCAACATTTTTCTGAGTTATACTGTGTCCTAAATTTCTAATTCTATCATTCTCCCCGTTCCCCAATAGCTTGCTTCCTGTGGGACAAGCCCCTTTTCCGCAGATGTATGTTTGACGTTTTGCATCATTCCAGTTGGCAAGCCACACGTTGTCAGACAGTGTTCTGGGCATGATCAGGAGGACAGGGTGAGTGCTTTATTTTCTCTTTGTTATGCCACACTCACAAGTTTGGGTCATTATTCGTGGTGTCCACATTTTAAGCTTCTTAGGGAGAAAATAAATCCTTAAGAAACACTTTATAATAGTGTTTTTATTTTGAGCCATGAAAATGCATTTAAAGTAGTAATGTCTCAAATGCTACTGTCAGAGCAGACTGTTTACAGAAATGAGTTTATTTCCCCCAGATATGGAAAAAAAAAAAAAAAAAAGAAAGAAAACCTCAGTGCCGTAATTAGCCTCTCCAAATGTTATAGTCACCTGGCAATAAATGAAGAACACTTCAATTAAAACCATTTACTCTTTTTCCCTTTGAAGAATTTTCTAAAGCACCT